AACCTATAAATGTAGGCTCATAGATCTATTTCCCCATCCTCATATAATATATTTGTATATGTACATGTCTTTATCTAGAGCTCTATAAATACCCTTTGCTTCCCAGCTTTTTCCTCTATTTCCATTGATTCTCCTCCTGTCCCACTACAAGATACTGGTCTTACCTGGGTCTAGGAGGCTTGTGTCTGTGCACGCTGTTTGGGGTCTTCCCATAGGTGTCTAATGGCTGCCTGATTTCTTTCCAACCTCCTCTATGGGGACCTTTGCAGGCATGGGAGGGACAACCCCTCTGCCCCTAAATCTAGCTACCTAACAATTCCAACTATGTCAAAAAACGCCTATGGGCAGAGCCGAGCATGGGAGTGGAGTTGAGCTCATAAGCCGTCCACCTGGCCGCCTCTCCGCTCCTCACCTCCCTCTCGCCGCCTGCCCTCGCTCCAGACGGCCGGCAGCCCAGAACACCTTCCACCATGGCCACCTCAACAAGTTCCCACTTGAACAAAGGCGTCAAGCGGATGTACATGGCTCTGCCTCAGGGCGATAAAGTCCAAGCCATGTATATCTGGATCGATGGCACTGGCGAAGGGCTCCGCTGCAAAACCCGAACCCTGGACTGTGAGCCCAAGTGTGTGGAAGAGTTGCCCGAGTGGAATTTTGACGGCTCCAGCACGTTCCAGTCTGAAGGCTCCAACAGTGACATGTATCTCATCCCTGTTGCCATGTTCCGGGACCCGTTCCGCAGGGACCCTAACAAGCTGGTGTTCTGTGAAGTCTTTAAGGACAACCGAAAGCCTGCAGAGACCAACTTAAGGCACACCTGTAAACGGATTATGGACATGGTGACCAGCCAACACCCCTGGTTTGGAATGGAGCAGGAGTACACCCTCATGGGGACAGAGGGGCACCCCTTTGGTTGGCCTTCCAATGGCTTTCCTGGACCCCAAGGTCCGTATTATTGCGGTGTGGGGGCAGACAAAGCCTACGGCAGGGACATTGTGGAGGCTCTCTACCGGGCGTGCTTGTAAGCTGGCATCAGGATTGGCGGGACGAATGCCGAGGTCATGCCTGCCCAGTGGGAGTTCCAGATAGGACCCTGTGAAGGAATCGACATGGGGGGTCACCTCTGGGTGGCCCGCTTCATCCTGCACCGTGTGTGTGAAGACTTTGGAGTGATAGCAACCTTTGATCCTAAGCCCATCCCTGGAAACTGGAATGGTGCAGGCTGTCATACCAACTTCAGCACCAAGGCCAGGCGGGAAGAAAATGGTCTGAAGTACATTGAGGAGTCCATCGAGAGGCTAAGCAAGCGGCACCAATACCACATCCGGGCCTACGACCCCAAAGGGGGCTTGGACAACACCCGACACCTCACGGGATTCCACGAAACCTCCAACATCAACGACTTTTCCGCCGGCGTGGCCAACCGAGGCGCCAGCATCCGCATTCCTCGGATCACCGGCCAGGAGAAGAAGGGCTACTTTGAAGACCGCCGCCCCTCCGCCAACTGTGACCCCTTCGCGGTGACCGAAGCCCTCATCCGCACGTGTCTTCTCAACGAGACCGGCGAGGAGCCCTTCCAGTATAAAAACTAAGCGGACTAGACCTCCAGCCAAGCCCCTCCCAGCTCTTCACCCCACACCCATGTTCCCCCTCTGCCACTCGTTCCTGCTAGCTGTAACTCAGAAGACAGAATATCAAGGTCTTTTTTATTCCTTGTGCCCAATTCATAACATTGTCTTTTTGGGGCCCAGGGTGGGGGTGTCACTTTCTTACTCTCTTCACACCCACCTCCCTTTTCTCTCTCTGTCTCAAGCTTTCTGGAAGACTGGGGAGTAGTGTGTTAGTGGGGCCAGGGCCGGGAATCCATAACCACTGCTTCCATTAATCAGGTGTATTTTTCCAGTAGGCCTAGCTACCCTCCAGACTTCTTTGAGGTGGCTGGAATCGGGGATAGGGCCTGACGTGTTCTGTGGTTAGGTCAGGATTTCCTGCTTCTGGTGGGAAATCTCATTTCTTAAAAAGAATATAACCAGCGTTACATTAAAAGTGGGGATGTTTCTGAGAGGGAGGGGAAGGGCCAGGAAAGAAATGTCCTTGGTCACACCTTCCTTGCTTAGGGCAAACAACCTTGGCCTAAAGATGACACTCGGAATAAAGTGACTATTACCCCCCCCCAAAAAAAAAACGCCTATGACTGTTGAATGAGAATTTAATGTGCTCCACAAACTCTCACCCAAACTGAAGTAAAATGTTCCAAAAAAGCTCCCAAACGTAGGAGGTGAAAAGCAGATACTGATGCTGCTTCTGCATAACGAAACGCCCCATGGGATTTATTTTCTTGGTTCAGAGGTTATAGTGGTGGTTTTGTGGAGCATTTTAGTGGATGTCGTTCGTGGGGTTTCAGTCCTACCTTCTAGTGCATTTGGGTAGTGTCTGGGGTCCTAAAAGTTTGTGAGCAATTAAAAAAAAAAAAAAAGCTTGGGGAGAACAATTGGTGTCTATTCATCTGCAGCACCTGAGAAAAAGGAGACTCAGGTGGAGAAAGACCTAGACTCGATGTCTCAGTGCTTTGCTCGTACAACTAGCATCTCAGTGAGCAAATTCGACGAGATTTGGATGGTGCCCAACTACCATGATAGAACCTTTTTCAATCAAAGATTCTGTCGTAGAATCCTGATTAATGGGGTGAAACTGAGAAATGAAGTTTCTAATTCTTATGAAATGCAGATTTCTGGTTTCAACGAAGGTTAAGGTGACCTACCTGAGCTGATCTTTGAGTCAAATAACAGTCTAGATCAGGGGCAAATTTTTGAGACAGAAGAGCCAGTCCTGTCCCTTACAGCAATTTAAAAATGATTCGAGGGCCAGAAGTATAGTTTTACAAATGAAGTAATCATTATCTGAATAATAGCCTTTAAATTTTTTTCAATTTTATTCTAAAGACCCTGCTTGCTCTAACAAGTCTTACATGGGTCCAGATTAATAAGTAAAAGAACTTTTGCCTTGAGTAGTGTGCTCTTTCAAAGAATTATCTGTGCAGTTTCGACAAGACAACAGAAAACAAACTCTCCAAAGGTCAGACTAGAGTTATGTTTTCAGGTAAGCCAGTAATTATCTGAATGGTTCTCCAAGAAAATGTTGCCTGTCCCAGAGTTTTTATGCAAACATTGTTCAGACCCAGTTTCCATGGCAACACATCATTTCCTAGCAATAAGGTAGAGTGTAAGAATCTGTCAAAGATTATTTTCCTTTGGAACATTTTTGACTTTCTAATCAAGATGTTACCCTGTTTTGCAAATTGTGTGTTAAACAAATGTCTATCAATTTCTAGAAAGGAAAAAAAAAACCAAAAACATTTTGATGCTAGCATCCATATTTTTATTTATAGTCTACATTGGAAATTGGAAATTGAATCAGTTGATTGCTCTAACAAGTCTTACATGTTAGAGCAGTCTTTAAAAAAATTTTAAAAAATTATTATGATATTTTTAGAGCAGTCTTTAGAAACACTGAGTTTTCTAATTTGGTTTTCAAAGAGAAGTTTGCCATTTGGGGTTACTAAATATATCCTCGGTTATTTGGATACAAGGACATGCTTTTTCTGTTGTCTCTCAAATAGTGAACTATGGAACAATCCTCCCAGTGCAAGTTACAGTTTTCTATTTCAAGTCATCTGTTCAATAAATCATTCTAATCGTCTGGAAGCACAAGATAACTTCCTTCTTCCTTTGGTGAATCCAGTGACTTTTCTCCAATGATTAGTCGTGTAACAATTTTGAAATTTATCTCCATCCGTGTATATGACCCACAACTTCATTACTGTCATTATTTTGTGTCTGTTTTCAATTTCATATGTAAAAATCTTAATAAATCATTCCACCACTTTGGAATTTGGGGCTCAAAATCTGAAAAATAATTTTGTACTGTTAGTAAAATTCACAGTACCACTTGGGGATTAACAAAATGTGTGGTTTCAGGAATAATTCAAATTTTAATCTACAATACTTATTTTACATTGTACACCTATACTTCCAGTGTGACTATTTCTTGTAAAAGCCACTACCAGTTCTGACCATTCTTTTTCCAGCTGCCTGTCACAAAGTCTATAAATGCATGCTGAATTACTATTTGACTCGGCAAAGAAGTGTCTTGTGACACTGGCAAAGAATGTACTTTAGACTTATGCTAGTTGATCTTTTCGTTCACATTAGCAACTCAGATAAAAGCGAAACACTACAGAGGAATGTTGGAGCTTCACTCATTTGTCAATAACAAGAGCAATTTCTTTGCTGAACAGAGTCCAGTTTTGGAACATTGGAGAAAACGTCGATCTCATGTCTGTTTTTACCCACAATGGAAAGAGAACTGAATATACACTTTTAAATTTCATTTGGTTTAACATTTTCCACAAACTGATGGCCTGTTTTTGTAAATAAAGCTTAACTGGAACACAGCCTCCTTGGTTTGTTTATGTTTCATCTAGAGGGTCACTATGGGTCAGTAGTGACTCAATAGAAGTGGGTTGGGTTTGGTTTACGGCTGCTTCTGCCTTCCAGTGCCAGAGCTGAGTAGTTGGGACAGTGACCTTACCTCCTAAAAAGCCTACAATATGTCTGATGCAGCTGTTTACAGAAGAGTTTGCTGATCTTTGGTCCAGAGAGTCAACAAAATAAATCAAACCCTGATTTGTAGCATTTGCTAATGTCTACTGTAGCCAATTTCATGCTGGCAGTGTGGTATCTCTGAACACAGAATGGCGAGCAATACACATGACATTACATCGTATTTCCACCGTGCAGGTAGAATAAGCACAATCTCTAGAGCAGAGTTACCAATAAAACACATTTTTTAAAAATGAAGCGATGAGCTTTGAGTACTACCTTTGTTTTTTCATATAATTTAGCTAATTGCAAGCTTACATAACATGTTAATGATGATTGCATTTAACAATTGACTCACATTCCTGAAATTTTTGCATTCAGCCCTTCTAACGACTTAGCTAGCTGTAGCATACCATTGTCTTTATTTCCAAAAATGCACGGAGGAGGGAGGTTTCTGGAGAGCAAGTAAGTTTCCAAGTTGGTAAATAAAGATGTCAAGGTTTAAATAAGGTTCAGCACTCTAATCCAGGTTAGGCTTCTGAGTTACCAAAAGTTAGCTTGATTTTTAAAATAGTAACTGTTAAGAGATACATATTGAGAGAACCCAAACGGAAGGGAAAGCGTTTTCTGGATTGCCATTAGATGTTGATACTGAACTTTTTTTTGTAAGGGGACGTTCCTTTTTGTTAGGTTTATGGGATAGCGGCCCCCACCCCCAATCCACCGCCGCTGTTCTTGCGTGTCAACGCTGAAAAAATTCACGTCGCAGAGCACTTTTCTAAGTCCAAGTAACTTTTGTGAGGGACAAGTTAGTTTGGGTACTATTGTCTCAGATAGTGCACACTATCTCTGAAAAGTGTGCAAGGCCGCACAGGGACGATGCAAGAGTTGGAGAGCGAATATGGCCACTTGGTGGGGGAGCTTGAAAAACCACGTGGAAAAAATGAGGATTGCCTAAGCGAAAGAGCGCCTGCCCCCTCAGCCTCTGCCTTTATCCCCGTAGCCCCCCTCTTGGGAGGGAGGGAGGCTGGCATGGTTAAGGCTACTGGCCATTCTTAGTGGCTGAGTTCAGGCGCATGTACGGTGCAGCATTGGTTTCTACTGTGCATGAATGCCCAGGTTGACCTTCATTCACCAGCATGCCCAGGTGACCTTCATTGGCTCCTAGGAGACCTTGTTCTACGCATGCCCAGTTTTGGATCTTCTCCATAGGTGTCTGATGTGTTCCTGATTAGTTTCAAAGCCCTGTGTTGCGGCAGGGCCAGCTCATTTTAGTTTCGTGCAGGCACTGGTGGAGACAGCCCCTGCGTCCCTAATCTTCCTGCCTGTCACTTTCACATTCTCTGACAGTTTTGTTGTAGGGTCAAACCCATTGCTAGTGAGTCCATTCCAACTGTTGGGCATGGTTGAGCTGATGGGGTTTCCAAGGCTGTGTATATTTATGAAGCAGGCCATCTTTGGCCTGCTCAGCAGATAGTGAGTTCCAACTGCCCACCCTTCTGTGAGCAGCCTAGTTCTCAGTGCTAGGGCCCTCCGGTTCACAAACCAGTGTGGTTGGATATTTGCAGGAAAAGGGGGCATATCTGGTTGACCTTTTCTTCATCTGCTGTTGGTATTTCTGTTCTTGAGAAAGTCTCTTAACTGTTTTAAGAAGGATACTAATACAAGAGTTTGGGATAGGGCATTCTACTCCCATAAAGAGTTAGTTTCAGATGCACATTCCGATAATGTCTCTAAAAATAGGCCCTTTTAGACTGGCAAATGTGTGTAACATATAACACAGGCATGCGCTTTGCACAAAATGTGAAATGTGTCGCGACAAACTTAAGGGTGAATCCTTGATTTGTTAAAAAATAGTCTCGGAAATCCACAGGGGCAGTTCTACCCCGTCCTGGTCCTGTAGGGTCTCTGAGTCGGCATCGCCTGGATGCAGTGCATTTGGTTTGGGAATACATGAATTTACCACCAGCAGCCCCTAAAATACTCGTATCCAGTTGCATGCTTGCTAAAGAAAGCCAGAAAACTTCAGGTCAGAAAACCCTACAACGCTTGAGGGTGGGAGAGGCTGTCACAGAAGGATCGCGCCTGGAAAGGCTGGGATTGGGGGCACGTGTAGCTGTTAGCGGTCCGGGAGGCCAGGCTCCGCCTCTCCCTGGACCCGTTGCACCTTCACCTTTCGCACAGCACCGGGAAAAGCAGGTCGGGCGCCTACCCTGAAGGCAGGAGTCCCAGCTGCTGGAGCTCCTCCGCCCCGCCCCGCCCCGCCCCATCATTTCACGAGGAAACCGGTCCGGTGGTGAAACGCCTTGATTGAAGTCCACTTGCCCAGCGAGGATCAATTGATAGCTCTTTTCACGTCATCATCTCTCCACTAAAACCCCCGCCCTACAAAGCTCTACGCCCCAGAGCGCCAGCTCCTTTATTAAAGGGGGCTGGCCTACACTTGAACTAGGAATCAACCTCCCAGCCGCTCCCACGTGGGT